ACGATCGTCAACATCTGCGAGTTTCGCACGAACTTGCCAATTATATCGCCGCATTACGCGCTACGGGAAAGATCGAGAAAGAGTAACGAGGAGGAATCGAACAGGTTAATGAAAAGCGACATGAGACATCAATTGCGAACATCTAAGAATAATTACACTTCAGTCGAACGCTAAGCGCTTCAAACAGCAAGAGTCTGAGAGTCAGCCGAATGTTCGACTGAATTTTAACAAGTTCTCTCGGGTGCTCGCAATCGCATCTCGTGTTGGTTCTTGCTGGCTCATTTGATCCATTCTCCACAGCCGAGAATCTTGGCAATTTGGTGGAAAGAATAAAATCAGTCAGGAAGGATAATCTCCTGCGGCTGATCCGCGCTTGAGCCCGGCTACGAAATCATCCATTATGCAAATTTTCTCCGGTGAAAGACACTTTTGTAAGATTGAAATTTAAAATTGAGAATTGAAGTCAAAATCTAAAGTTCGAGATTGTATTTTCGCAGGACTATCCGCAGTATCGCGATTACTCAGCCAACGTCGATTCATCATTGTGTTTCGCGCCTACAATGCGATGACCGAAAAACGTGTAACGTCGATGGAATAAATTAACCGAATTTGTGTTGCAACACGAATGTTTGGCACGCGTCCAAACTGCTAAAGAATTAGGTCGTCGCTTGTAACCGCATGTCGTATTACACGAGAGAGGAATTATCTTTTTCTTCCTTTCATTCCTTCTTTCTTCCTTTTTACAATTGTTTGGCAGATCCTCACTGCAGCGGCTTTCTAATGCATAATTTCACAGAATACCGAAATATGTCGCAAAAATGGGAATTAGAGATAAGATAAGATTTTACGGTCGATCGGAAATTACGGATGTTAATTTTCACTCCTCGCTGCATAATCGTGGCGATCGATTTCACGGCGATGTAATATACTGAAAAAAGAGAAGAAATATGTGAGTACTGAAAAATTCTACAGTTGCAGATATCGATCGAGACTTGCACGCAGGCAAGTCTCGATCGAGATATAACGTCGCCGTTAATCTTGGCCTTCGGAATATTTCGTTCCGAACTTCGCGAGAACATCGGAATGAATTTCTCGCCGGCGAGAATTACGCGTACGCAGCGTAAGAGATGAAGAAGGATGAAAAGTGGAGCGGCTGTTTCGTGCTATTTCGGCGATAAACCGTGGCGTGTGATCTACATAATCTACGTAGCCTTTGAAAAATAGCGGTGTCCGACCGAGATGCTGGATCTAATTCGCGTTCGCAAGAGACATTTGTTGCTTTACGTCTTGTTACTTCGTTGCACCAATGTGCCGCAAAGTCCGCTGAATGAAAGGCTGAAACGAAATCGGCAACCGAGTCATTTCGTGATTAGAGGAAAAAAACCTTTCGACCTTCCGTTATTTCTAAAAAAATTTTATTTATTATAGTTATTTTAGTTATTTTTAAAAACATTTAACTAAAAAAATTCTAACTAAAAAATATTAAACCTAATCTTGTTTGTGCGGCTCCGCCGAGATTTTTGTCGGATTAGTTTCTCGCTCGCGTCAGGGTCCTGCGTGCTGGGTTCTACTTTCTTTTTTTTCCGGACCAATTGTTAACTTAGATAAGGAGAGCGAGACGAGAATAGTCACGTTTTTTAGCTTTCATCGATCGGCCTAGAGTACTTTGTACATTAACTGCGATTTCGTTTCCACATTCGCAACTTGTGAATTATCTCTCATGTTCTCGACTGACTCGTCTCTTTCTTCATTTACAGCGAATGTCAAAGACAGTTGAGCAGAATACTGGATGACATGGGCGAGGCATCGGCGAGGGCTCAAGGCCTCAACAAACCCATCACCAGTGCCCTGAAGCTCCGTGACACGGATCACACGGTTTACCTGCTCGTGGATAACGAGGCAAACAAGTGAGTGTTTCTCTCCCTCTTGAGCCGCGTAGACCTGGCCGAGGTGTGACTTTCAGACAAATTTTCCGAACTGTGCCCTTTTCACGAGCGACGCTACATTCACCTTCGTCTCTCAGGCCTTTTCATATTGCGCGTTGCTTTTCTGTCTGGAGGATTAAAAAATGTCGCGATACCGAGAAGTGTCTCGACATAGCCGGGGTTGAAATGCGCGTTGCGGATTTTAAAGTGCTACAGAGCAGAAGTGGGTGTTTCCCAGCCGGGGGGGGGTTACAAACTCGTGTAGGACGGCCCGTGGATCGATGTGCTGGGCTCCGGGGGTGGCTCCGACTACGGATATTCACCTTCCAGATTCCAAGACCACAGACGACATGCGACTCTCAACTTGAGTCTCAGCTGCCTATGCAATTCGCTTGAAAGGAAAATCCAATCATCATCGTTCTGTTAATTCTTGCGTATTCTTTCTCGAATACTTCGTCGAACGTCTATATATGTGAAGAGAATAGCACATTAGAGTCATGTATAATTTTTTACTTAGAGTCATTTGAGAACTATGTTTGCGGTAAAATTCTCAGAAGCGATTTGAAGGGTCCTCCTCGTTACTGAAAGTGATGAGGAAAACATTCGTCTCACTGAAGGCGAAGAAACGTATCCAGAGATGACGTGACAACGATTCCCTGATTGGCAATCACTGATCTGTATCTTCGCGAAAATGGCATGAGTTACGCGTCAGTCCATACGCAGATATTACGCATCATTTAGCAATCATTAAGACGACGTAACGACGCAACTGTCCTCCAGAAACCGAGATCGCTCTGCGATCGTGAATCATCCGTGCGAGTAAATCCGCGTGAATATCTTCGATGTTGCAGCGGTCTAGGTTGCGTGGTGGGTTTGCTGAAGACAGGATCGAAGAATCTGTTTCTCTTCGACGAGACGGGGGTGCATTATCAGCTGCAGGCGAGGTGCATCTTGGACTTCTACGTACACGAGTCGCGGCAACGTATGGGTCTGGGCAATATCCTCTATCAACACATGTTATCCGTGAGTTTGATCGCAAATAATTTTTAGTTTCCATTATATAACACGAAGGCTCATATCACACGACAAGATCGATCAGTGAACAAATTTGGCTCGATTTCTGAGACAAATTTGATTTTACTACATCGGACAGAAACAGATTATTTTTTTTCTGGAAACATTGTTGTTGTTTTAACAGACAACATCCTGATATTTACCTTAGATTTTATTTTTTTGACGTTTTGGCGACAATCGTTTTGGCGACATTATCCTCTTAGAAAATGATTAGTTTACCGTCCAATAAAGCATCGAAGATTGAATCGAGCCGAATTTTTTGATGAATCACAATATATAATACATGAATTATACATCTGCTCAAATATCTACAGTATGATTCGCGGTAGTGAGCATCCCCCGCGAAATAAGAGGCGCTCGTTTTTCACAGCAATCTTACGCGCGAAACAATGAAATCCTCAATGAGTCGTTACTGCCGCGTTTCTGAAAAGACGTTCTCGCAGAAAAAGAGGTCGATTTAATTAATGGCGCGTCTCTTTCTTTCTCTCGATAATTGTATGTTAACGAGCCCGCAAGAAACAGGCCGTTCTCATATGAAGAGAGAGAAAGAAAGAGAGAGGGGGAGAGAGGGGGGAGAGAGAGAAAGAGAGAGAGAGAGAGAGAGAGAGAGAGAGAGAGAGAGAGAGAGAGAGAGAGAGAGTTCCCGCTGTAAGATACGAGCTATCTTTTCACCCCTTCGCTCGAAGACAAATCTCCGATGCGCCGTTACGAGGCGTAATTACTTCCTGCATGGGAGCAGAAGGCGTCGTGCGCGATCATGATCTAAATCACTATCGTTGAGAGGCCTCGTGCGAAACGAAAGCAGACCTGTCGCTGTAATCGCATTACGTGGCGACGATAGAACGAGAGCGATCTTTGCATTGCGGCAAATTGCTGTCGATTATTTACGGCAAATATTTATTTTAGCAGATTATTAACACGCGCAATATATAGTTTGTAATCGCACGAGTCCGAGGAGAAACATCGAGATAATTATACCGGAGAATGCGAGCATTTGGCAGGCTGTTGTTATCGCTTGTAATCCTGATAAAACAGGCGATAAATAAATTACGAATGTTTATCCAGGAAAACGCTTAAAAACATGCAGGATGTATGCAATCTATATTGATGATAACATTTCGCCGGTATGCATCGACGTGTGTGGTAAAAATATATAAAATATATAACATAGGTAAAAATATACAGGATGTCCCATTTTAAAAAACGCACCTCGATAATTCTTCAACAAAGCATTTTGAACAAAAATGTTTCGAACAAAAGTTGTATGATTTCAAGGGAAACATAAAACAACTATACTATTTTGTTTACAAATGGCATCACTTTCGAGATATTCGCTGATCATTACTTTTCTTAAATGGATACCCCAATTTTTTATTACACCGTTTTTTTCTACCGATTAATTTAAACAACTTTTGTCTGAAACATTTTTTTATTTGCCTAATATTTTTTGAGATGTTTAAGGAAAACTTGATAACTTTGTCAATATTTAATTCACGATATCTCGTTAACTATTTGTCGGAAGTAAAAGTAGTATTAGACATTTCTGTTCTATTTAATCCCAAGAATATATTGTTATAATAATATTCTGACTTTTGTTAACTTACTGACATTTGGAAATTTCAAAATCATCAAATTAACAAAAGTCAAGGCGCTATTGTAACAATATATTTTTGAAACTAAATAAAGTAAAAAAGTCTAGTACCATTTCTTCTTTCGACAATAAGTTAGCGAGATATCGTAAATTAAATATTGAAAAAGTTACCTTAAGTTTTCCTTAAATCTAAAAGAATATTAATAAGCAAATAAAAAATATTTCAGACAAAAGTTGTTTAAATTAATTGGTAGAAAAAGATGGTGTAATAAAAAATTGGGATTTCCATTTAAGAAAGGGATTTTCATTTAAGAAAAGCAATGATCAGTGAATATCTCGAAAATGGTGGGAAAGATTTGTAAACAAAAATAGTATAGCTGTTTTATGTCCCCCTTGAAATCATACAACTTTTGTCCGAAACATTTTTGCTGAAAATGCTTCGTTGAAGAATTATCGAGGTGTATTTTTAAAAATGAGACACCCTATATGTTTCTAAAGTTTCGTACTTAATTTCATGATAATAATGAGGGAAGTATTCCAAGAGCACAATTTATAGACTAACATGCTCTCTCAAAGTGAATCAGTGAAACTCACTGTCAATCAGCGATTATGCACTGATTGTCAGTGCTAAATATACCATTGAATTTTTCAGTGGTATACTTAGCACTGACAATCAGTGCATAATCGCTGATTGACAGTGAATTTCACTGATTCACTTTGAAAGAGTGAGCGATTAATATTTATTCCTTAAGAAGCGCGTCAGCCGTATATATTCATAATAAACAACAGAAATTACATTCCTCACGGTGAAATATAAAACGCGTATAACAAAGAGGAAAGCGGTGGAATCCGTAAGATGCTTTTCGTTCCGCTCGAGGACTCAAAACCCTGAAATCGGTGTCATGTGAGGACAAGCGCACAGGACTGTGACGAGAAGGCGGCCGTTCTTCTTTTCGCGTTTCTGCCTGCAAATCTTCGTCGGAATATAAAATTACGCACAATTAATTTCCCACGGAGAACACAGCGTTCGTTGCGTTCAGTGCAATTTCCGCGGCTGTATACATCGCGGCAGCATTGTGTTGTTGCGATAGCTTGGAGTCGGAGTTGCATAAAGTTGCCGGTCTCGCGATTTTTTCCACCTTTCCTTCTTTTCTCCTGTTTTTCCTCCTCCAACTCCGCGGGGTCAAGATAATCCGTTATACGTTATTATAACGAAGAATGCCTGGTATAGCGGTGGAGAACAGCGTTCTACAGATAGAACGGTACGCGCAAAACCACGAGGCGAGAGCTCTCGTGTGTCATCATGCACAACCGGGCTCGAAGCACTTGCCGGGATTGTGCCACGCATAACACGCATCGGTTGCGATGAACGAACGAAATCAAAACCGCGGCCTGAAACGCGATACTGCTCGCCGGCTAAAACTCACGACAATTACTTGCGATTGTATCCCTTCACTCGCGTTAAACCGTGACTCACGACGTCGAGGGTGCGACGTCATAATTATTCGTGTTGTCCTAGCGTTACGGTTCAACGCAGCCGAAGATGTGCGTGTCACACTTGTTGCGCAATAAATTCTCGCACGGCGGGAAATTTGTCATCGCTGGAGAACGCGCCGGTAAAATTACGCAAACTGTCTCACAACGAACGGCCAAGAAAGAGGGGGAGCGAGAGACGGAGAAGAAGAGAATCAGGACGAGTTCGTTAAGAGGAAATTAAATAACGAGGAAGAACGCGGCGTTTATTCGCGCGAGCTTTCGCCAAGCGCGGAGATCGGTTCTAAATTGCTCGCACACGAAATCTTTAATTATACGTGTTTTTTGCGATTTTTATCGCGGATGCGGTTTGCACATTTTTCTGTGAAAGCAGAATGTGCTGGGTCAGACACAAAGGCGGACTTACGCCGCGTGACGACCGGCTCTCTTGCGCGAGCGAGCGCACCCGCACTCGAGACGTCTATTTTCTCTTCTCTTTACGCACGATAATGTACTTTTTTTCTCCGTATCTAGACGTTCGGCGCATCGCAGATCTCGTTTAATATCAATTTAACTCACCGCATCGCGAAATACGACCTACTACCGTTGCCTTCATTGTCCTCACCGCGGAAATTATGGAAGTCATTTTGGATTTCGCCAATGTTAAATGCATTTATTATCGCATTAAGAACGCTATGAAAAGATACACGTAATATATAACTCAGATGTTGAGAATTCAATTAAACGGTCGGCTTTACTATAGATATTATTATTATCTATATTATAATATATATTATTAGGTGTACAAATGAATAATCCAAATTATTTTAAGCAGTTATGAAATCAATTTTAAATTGAATAGATTTTCCCGCTCTTTTGTGATTATGCAATGTTAATATAGTTATTAAAAAGAACATATAGTTTGGCGAAAGGCCCAACATAACCTTCAAAGTATTCAGTGCCGGTGTGAAGTTGGCACCTCATTTTCTAGCACCGCAAGTTTTAGCGATAGTTTCATTGGCACCCACAATAGTTCTACAGTTCCTGATAGGTTATACCAATAGTTCAGCCGAATTAGTTAACAAAATGGCAGATTGAAAATATGAGGTGCTAACTTCCCGTAGCACCGCAACTTTCAAAAAAACCCATTTCAAGCACGAAATTTTAGTATATAAATAATTTACTCTTGTGATACGGTACTGGCGCTGAGATTTAAAAATTATTTAAAAATAGTTAAAGGCCAGCACCCGCGACGGGACCAACCTAAAGCGTTGGAACTATTGTAGAACTACTAAAAGAAGCCCAGAAGTCGGCTGGGACTGGCAGCAGACTCATACTTTACTCTTGTGCTGCGGTGCTGGCTGTAAGATTCAAAAATTATTTGACAATAGTTAAAGGCCAGCACCCGCGACGGGACCAACCTAAAGCGTTGGAACTATTGTAGAACTACTAAAAGAAACCCAGAAGTCGGCTGGAACTGCCAGCAAACTGATACTTTACTCTTGTGATGCGGTGCTGGCGCTGAAATTCAAAAATTATTTAAAAATAGTTAAAGGCCGGCACCCGCGACGGGCACCTAAAGCGTTGGAACTATTGTAGAACTACTAAAAGAAACCTAGAAGTCTGCTGGAACTGCCAGCAAACTGATACTTTACTCTTGTGGTGCGGTGCTGGCGCTGAGTTTCAAAAATTATTTAAAATTGGTTAGAAGCCAGAACTATTCCTAAAACATATCAGGAACTATAGAACTAGTCTAGAACTTCATGCTTGAAATGGGTTTTTTTGAAAGTTGCGGTGCTACGGGAAGTTAGCACCTCATATTTTCAATCTGCCATTTTGTTAACTAATTCGGCTGAACTATTGGTATAACCTATCAGGAACTGTAGAACTATTGTGGGTGCCAATGGAACTATCGCTAAAACTTGCGGTGCTAGAAAATGAGGTACCAACTTCACACCGGCGCATTCAGTTCAGTACAGTCGAAAATGGCAACAGATAAGATGCATATCCGACACTGCATTCTTTACGAATTCCAACAAAGAAAAAATGCTGCAAGAGCGTGCGAATCGATTTGTTCTTTTCTCGGCGAAGGTGTTGTATCGTACGATGTGTGCGCATTTTGGTTTAAGCGGTTTAAAAGCGGTAATTTCAGTCTAATTGACAAACAACGCCCTGGAGGCCCTCCGAATTGCGATAATGATGATTTGGAACAATGCTCGCTGAGAATTCGGCACAAACACAAAAAGAGCTTGCAGAACAGTTGGGAGTAACGCAGCAAACGATTTCCAAACGCCTACATGAGATGGGAAAGATCCAGGAAGAAGGAAAATGGGTGCCTAACCGCATGAACTCACTGAAACCAACAAAAATCAACGAGTGACAGCGTGTCTTTCTCTTCTCAATAAGCAGCGTCGAAAGTCTTTCTTGTGGAAAATCGTTACGGGCGATGAGAAATGGATACTTTATGACAATCCGAAACGCAGAAAATCATGGGTAAATCCCAGCGAATCATTAAAATCGGTCGCAAAACCCAATCGCTTCGGCAAGAAGGTTCTTCTCTGCATTTGATGGGATATGAAGGGCGTGCTTTATTAGGAGTTGTTGGAACCGGGTGGAACAGTTATTGCGGACTGCTACCAACGTCAATTAATCTGCTTGAGTCAAGAATTGTAACGAAAACGCCCGTATACTGGCAAAGGAGAACGTCCAGTGAAATTGTTGCATGACAACGCCAGACCACACATTGTTTCCAATACAAAAGACACCATAATGAGTCTTGACTGGGACGTCTTGCAGCACCTGGCGTATTCACCAGACATTGCTCCATCCGATTATCACTTGTTCCGGTCGATGCAACACGCCTTGTCCAATATGCACTTCCAATCAGTGAATGAGATCTGACAATGGCTTGACGACTTTATCGTGTCTAAAGATGTAACATTTTTCCGAGATGGAATTCATCAGCTGCCTGAAAGATGGCTTAAAGTTATAGAAAGCAACGGCGAATACTTTGATTGAACAATTTAATTTACTTTCTTTTAAAATAAACCTTGAATGTAGCTGAAAAAATTGGATTATTCATTTGTACACCTAATAGATGTAGATATTATTATCTTCGTCTTATTACAGTTAGTCTTATTACAGTTGGTAAAATAAGCAAGAAAAGATGAATCCAGGAAGAAAAGGAAGAAAAACTCAGAGAGAAAAGAAAGGAAAGGAAACTCGAACACACAAAAGAAAAGAAAAGTTGCTAAGGATGAAACTTGTTTCATCGATCACGCGAGTTTCTTGCGTTTTCTCGTGAAATGCGAGACGCGGAAAACCGGCCCGGTTTTAAACACGATATTGCCGTTACGATGGCAAGATCTGTAAAAGCGCATGAGAATTTTGTAGGTAAAGAATCGGACTCCCTTATCTCCCCTCTGTCTCTGTTTCGCACGTGCGGTCGTAATCGCAATCAAAGAAAATGAGCCCGTTTCTCGACTGCTGCTATCCCGCGAGTCGCGCGCGGCTGGAGACCTGCGATATCGCGCGTAAAACGTGACCGATCTTAAACAGGCGCGTGACAAAAGGTCATTATACATGAGCAACTAGAGGTGGGTGTTACGCTCGAGGGGGTTAACTCGCGAGGTGACTGAACCCGTCCAGCCGGCCCGTTTGTTTCGGCACGGTTCGCCGATTTGGTATCTGCCGGTCGCGACCGCACGATTTCCGTCTAATTCCAGCTGTTTTTACGCGGAACTGATACTAGAAACCCGGTTTTCCGTGCTAAGTACGATAAATCGCTCGGCCGCGGCGCGACCACGGCTCTCACCGAGCCATGAAAGTTAATCACACTTGCTCGCGCGCGTGGCTCGCATTATTCCGTACCGCGTCACGTGTACGTGAATACGTTAATCAGTCAAATTGAAGCCTGTCGGACCAGAATATAACGGGAAATATTACTAGTCATATACAGCGTATTGAACTAGTTATTACGCTGGTGTGATTACCGTCGATTTCTCCTTTTTCTCTTGCTCTCCCTCTCTCTCTCTCTCTCTCTCTCTCTCTCTCTCTCTCTCTCTCTCTCTCTCTCTTTCTCTCTCCCCCCCTCTCTCTCTTCTGACATCCTTCTTTCTCTGAACATTTCATGATGAACATTCCAAATGTGTCTCAACATGAGCGCTATGTCTTTTCGTTTGATTTTTCTTTTTTATCATTTTTTCGCAATGCTCTCGGAAAGATGCACGCCTTGAGCGATGATAAAAGTAATCCATCAATCGGTTGATCTTTTCTTTAATTATCTTTCTTGCTTCCTTATTCATATGTTTGCTTTTTGTATTTTTTCCTGGTCGATTTGTAGCAACAACAACAACGATGTTGCAGGAGGAAAATATCAGGCCGGTGAAATTGGCTATCGACCGACCGTCGGAGAAGTTCCTGGCTTTCCTGCGCAAGTACTACGGGCTCTCAAAGATCGTTCCCCAGAATAATAAATTCGTCGTCTTCGAGGGATTCTTCGATGACGGTACGTAAATTATTTCGTCTGCGCCGAGATACATACGAGTCCCGGCGAGAGAGTCGGACGTAAATCTCCGCGTTGAAAAAGGCATGACACTTGATTTCTCTCACGGAAGCGTCGTGAATGACCACAATCTTGGTCGATGCTCCATGACGTGCGCGTCCAAAAATAAGTCCCGCGTAGAGACCACCGAGCGTGTCTCAGCCGACCGTTGCTTTCGCGTTATCATTAATATCAACAAGAAACATCCGTGAGATTTGCATATGAGACACGTGAACCATGTATCAACAGAGTCCAATCTGTCGTAGAAAGCGAATAATAATCGAATCGGCTGATCCGGAAACGGCCCTAGACCCCGTTTTTTCGCGAAGATAAATTTCGTTCGCGCGAAAATTAGACGTTCTCGTCGAGCTCTCGTCAAGATAGATCGCGCCGGAGCACGCTGATAATAATTGATAACAATCCTCTTGTCTTCCGAAAGACTCATTCTTTATGACTCATGCTATCATCGAGACGACCGATTCGATTATCTCTCGCTCCCAGCGAGCAAGTCTTCAAGGTGCGCGTCGTGCAGACGCAAGGTCGGACATCGTCGGTCTGGTTTCGAGCGAAGGTCGGGCCGCCCTACGGGCGAGCGTGTGTCGAGTTTCGCATCCTAAATCGGCGATACTCGCTCTCTCGAGGGAGGCTCTGAAAAAGATCGCGGCCAATGCCACGCTGAGGACGACTAATGTCCCGCTTACGGTCGTGCTCGCGATCGATCGGGCCCGTCCCGAAGCGTCGCGCCGCGACACTCTGGTCATACATTTAACGCTGATTATGCACGAGCCGCTCCAATTCTGTTGATAGCGTTGAACACGCGTCCCTCGAAAGATTGATGTACCCGGGCGCTCACGTCCGCCGAAAAATGGAACGCGAAAAGTGCGGAAAGGAGGAAGCGTCGTGACGACGGCGAGTGCTGGTTACTATGATCGTTGAGCGTACTTTAAAGGCTGTTTGAAGTATAAAAAGAGGGAGATTGCGAAGAAACGAAGGTCAATAAAGCGATCGCAGAGTTCGTGTCCACACGGTAGAACGGGGCGAATTGCGAATCGATTTTGCTCTATTGAAAAAAGTGTATTGAGAAATAGGTACGTGCGATACTTTCTGTCAACATCATCATCATCATCATCATCCTCCCGCAAAGAAATTATTTGTTGCAAGCATCAACCTGCGTGGCTGTCATTCGACCGTTCGCACATCTCAACGATTGATATGTGACAGCTTTGACAGTGTCGTTCCTAAAAAACAGAGTCGGTGATAGGCTACTCGACGCGTCATCGAGCGAATTTCCCGCGATCTTTCTCGAATTGATGAGCCTATGACATTACGAATGAATTTATTCAGCCGACAGAGTCTTCGTTCTAGTCTCCATTTAGACCTTGCGTTGTGTGATATCGTATAATTGAAAGATCTCTGTTTCGATATTCGCAGAAAATCGAGACGTAAGAAGCAACAGATACAGTCTACCTCCTCGAGCGAGCTTGGACGACGGGACGCCAAGCAGCAATAACAACAATAACATTAACGGTGCCAGGTGAGTACATCGCCAGCCGAGGCGACAGATGCATGAGCCCCCGTGGCGTCACAGTTAGACGATAATGATTTTCCCTTTTTTCAGGTTCAACGGGGACCCGTACGTGCCGGCCGTTTCGCGCAGCTCGTTCGGCAGATATGCCGCGGCGCGACCACCTTGTTCTATGGCAAATGTGAGTATGACAATATAGAACGATGTAAAATGTAACGTCGCGATCCTTCCTCAGCGGATACTCCTCGTGTTTCTCATACGTCAACGTCATCGGCGCGTCCTTTGCTTGGAAAATCGCGATTCTACCGCGAAAACGCAGTGGGGAACTGTCGACCTCTCGCGTCTGCCGCAGCGTCGTTGTTGAAAACGGGACGGATTTTTGTCTTTGTAGCGGAAGTTAAATATTCATTTCTCGATTACGTCGAGTGCAATAAAGTGTGAGGAAGAGCATTCTTACGGCGAAATGAATAATGCATCGCACATAAATCTGTCTTTCTCGCTTGACTTTAATATCAGCGCGCGCTCGGCGCGACTAATCTCCATCATCCCAGGTCATCTTGGCTTTTGATATTCCTTTGCGCTTGCGAGAAAGAGAGAGAGAGAGAGAGAGAGAGAGAGAGAGAGAGAGAGAGAGAGAGAGAGAGAGAGAGAGAGAGAGAGAGAAAGCTAAAACGAATCTCGCAAGCCCACGGCTTTTGAACGTTGTAACATCGCAGCTGGACTAATCAACGAGTCGCTTTCTTTTAGATAATCCATAACACAGCGATACTTGGTCAGTCAGCCGAGCGCACCGGGTGAGTAAAATTCATGCGGTGGTCGTCGAGAGACGGTCCGCAATCAGCCTGCAAAACGCTTGCCTTCAGTTACTTTGATATTTCTAACGAAAGATTATTATTATACGTAATAACGATGTTATACACAACACACACGCACAGATATACGTGAAGATGTACACATTATGCATAACATTTTTTTTTATTGTGACGTGAGGAAAATAATATTTTCTGGGCTTTTCACAGTGAAACTACATTTTTGTTTTCTTTCTTCTCTTCTTTTATTTTTGAGAGATCTTTGGAGAAGTTGTCGCGAGGCAGTTACACAACAGACTTAGCAAATTTGTTTTATTTATTTATTTATTTTCACAGTGTCGCATCGTAAGCAAATGTCTTTTTAACGAAAGCACCGTTCGAGCTTTTATGAATCCCACTAAGAATGTTCGAGATGCTTCGAGACTATTATTCGCTGCGATAACGCATCGCGTCGATGACTGTTCATCCACTTATTTTATCATTCGCGATCACCCATGCATCGTGCCGATGGAACCCTCGATTAAATGTTTAATCAAAGGTTCAATTGGAAATGCGTTAACACACATCGTTAAGTGATGCTTGGATGCTGAAGCAGCTTGCCGAAACACTATTTTTACACTGAATACACGTAAATGCAATCTCTTATCAGGGCATATCTAAGCGGGCGTTAAGTGTTTTCTCAGTTACCTCGGTCATCCAAATCCCAGATTTCGAAATGGGACCATTGATTTCGTGAACCCGCAATGTTCCATATATCGGATGAGATGTAAATAGCACAAAAACGAGCGTAAAATTGTTTCGACGTGTTTTTTTTTTATCCAAATAAGATTGTACCAACGTCGTACTCTTTAATTCTCGACATACCTGATTAACGATAGACGCATATAAAATATATAACTTAAAATCTGTATATTATATATTGAAGAGATTGCTGCGATAGTAATTTTAATTTAAATAGAGTAACAGTATGAATAGGAGTTGAAAGAATATTAACAGTTCAAAAAGGAAAACAAAAGTGTCATCTCGTCGTGAATGAGAACGTGTAAATATGAATTAGTTGCATAAAGAGAAACGAGAGGGGAACAACGAGATCGCGAACAATGTTGAACTTTACTTTTGTGCGCTTAAAGCCCGGGACTCGTTTACATTCCAGCCTAATTTATATATGAGTATGTACATTATATTTATTTAACGCGTTTTGTGCAAATTGTAGCTCGTAAGTTTCTATGTAATCACAATTGGCACCTATTTATAAAAATACGTATGAGTTAATAAAATTTAATTTATTGATTTCGTGCACGTAGTTGAAATTTCCTTTGCCTTAGATCGATGGATGTAAAAAGAAATACAAAAATAAGTGTATAAAACTGTGTGACAGTTTCAGTATTTTTATCCCTTTACTCTGTGCATGCAAAACACCTGAACTTTTTGATATTTTTCGTCGAGTGACATGGTTTCTCGAAGCGTTTTATTTTAACACCCATCTCGGCATGAGCGAAGCATGTTTATGTTGTTATCGAGTGCGCATATGATTGTACGAAATGGATATTTTCTCCTCTATATACAGGGTGTCCCATTTAACCTGACAAATCGTAATATCTGGAAAACTACATCTCGGATAAAAAAAGTTGGTAATGAAATTTATTCGTTTCGAAGGGGGACATCCAATGATATCAAACTCGACCTCCCACCCTACTCCAGGGAGGTGGGGATGGGGGGCAACTTTGAAATCTTAAATGGGAACCTCCATTTTTTATTGCAGATTCGGATTCTACGCCACAAAATATGTAAGTTTCGTCCGAAACTTTTTTTTTTATTCGTGATAGATGGCGCTGTAATCGCAAAAAATTAGATTTTCTGCAATTCTCCAGAAATGATAATTGGATTGAAAAATAAAAAAAATACCTGTTCAATATTTTTAAAAATATTTTTAAAAAACAATAACAGTTATTCCCCCCCATTCCCTCGGGGTAGGGTGGGTGGGTGGTAACGTTCAAATTTCAAATGAGAACCCACATTTTTCATTGCAGAATTAGATTTTACGTGAAGTTTTTATGGAAATTAATTATAAAATTACCCCGATGGTGAGAGGCGAGGGGACTCACCTAAAACAAGCACCCCGAAGGGAACAGAAAGCTACTACATCCTCGTCGTTGTTCCTGGGTAACGCTAAAAGTAGTTTCTCGGAAAAATTCAACGCTATCTATCACGAATAAAAAAAATTACTTCCATAAAAACTTCACGTAAAATCTAATTCTGCAATGAAAAATGTGGGTTCTCATTTGAGATTTGAACGTTACCACCCACCCTACCCCGAGGGGATGGGGGGGGGGATAACTGTTATTATGTTTTTTAAAAATATTTTTAAAAATATTGAACAGGTATTTTTTTATTTTTCAATCCAATGATCATTTCTGGAGAATTGCAGAAAATCTAATTTTTTGCGATTACAGCGCCATCTATCACGAATAAAAAAAAAGTTTCGGACGAAACTTACGTATTTTATGGCGTAGAATCCGAATCTGCAATAAAAAATGGGGGTTCCCATTTAAGATTTCAAAGTTGCCCCCCACCCCCACCTCCCTGGAGTAGGGTGGGAGGTCGAGTTTGATATCATTGGATGTCTCTTTTCGGGACGAACAAATTTCATTACCCACTTTTTTTGATCCGACATGGTTTTCCAGATATTACGATTTGTCAGGTTAAATGGGACACCCTGTATATTCTGTATTGCTATCGTAAAAATTATATTACCGAAAAGATTAATGTTGATGCCAACGAATATTCATTGTAAAATCTACTTCTTGTTTGCATAATCGTGTGTTCTTTACGACGTTTCCTTTGTTAATGCAAAGTTCAAAACTATGAAATAACGAAGTACATAATAAGAAAGTAGCGAAAATTTGAGCTGGAAAGCCAAAGTCTCTTCAGGCTTTTCTGTCATATTTAAACAGTAATATTATCCCGTTGCATTAACAAACGATCGCTGAGGCTGATTAATATACAACCGTCATTAAAAATACGTTCCACGTAATATTAGGCGTGAGACGACGAATTGTTTTACTGGGATTAGTCCTGTGTCGCGTAAGGAGTACATGTGCGTAGAACGAAATCGAGTTCTCATTAAAGAGAGAGAATGAGACAAAGATACGTTCACGGCGGCGAACGTTAACGAACTCGAGATCCGGGACAGAGAGACGTAATTGCATGCTGCTTACAACGTGTGTTGAGCTTGCCCAGGCGGCTGCGACACGGCTTGACGAGCAAGTTGATTTTTCAGCAATGAGAGTGGCAGCGCGTCATCGCCGCCGCAGCAGCTTCCAACAGCTTCGCCGGCGCCGTTGAAGCTGGAACGACCGCGTTCCTTGAGCCTCTATTCCGAGGAGGAGCAGAAGCAACGCAGCATCGAGATGACCACAGTGCCGACGCCCGTTGTGCCGGATAGCCAGCCATTCGTCCCGATCCTGCTAGAGGCCGAGAAGACGGAGAAAAACGTGAAGCCTTCGCCATCGTGCGGCCAAGAGGTTACCGGCACTAATCAACATGGGCACTTGGATCTCAAGTTCTACCATTCACCCTTGTGGTGAAACTGCTCGTCTGATATTCTTCTGCGGGCGAGCTGCTCGTTTCGCAGGCGGATCAAGTCGAGTCGAGTTAATGTTAAGCTCGGTTGACGCAATTTTCTTTTCCTCGCCTGTAGGTAGAAGCGTAAAAGAACCACGGAAGTGGGAGATGCAACCGCTAACTCAGGATAAAGACTTGTTAGTCCGCGGACCATTGCGCGCTGATCACAACTCGGACGATTGTAGTCCGAGCCAGAGAATGTGTCGTCTTATTTTGATCTTGATGTGGGAAGAAACGACAATGTCATTTCGTGTCCTGCGAGAAATTGAACATGGGTCAAGAAGGATTAAGGAGAAGTTTTATTCGTTGTAAACTCTGTTTCTTCGTTTCCTTGCGTTTTTAGATGCAAGATCGTTCCTTTAATTCTCTCTGTAAGAAAGTAATTGCAGACTAATATTTCTCTCCAGATAACGTAAATGTCCAAAGGACATCCTGCTCATTTCGGGCGTCTCTGGGTTTATTTTACACACTTGTATTGTCGCGATCAAGAAAACTGGGTTAGTTAGTTTCTTGTTGCCCCATGGCGAAAGAACAAACGCGTATTGCGACTAAAGGTACGAAGAAATCCAGAAAAACATCAGACAGAAAGATATCCAAGTATTTAACGACTCATTCTTGATTTCAAAGATATAGCGATTACTCTCACCGATTGAGTACCCACGTTGAAATTTTTTTAATCTACTTGGGTGAGTGCGTGTGTGTTGTGTGTGTATATGTGCGTGTGTGCGCGCGGATAACTTATATCAGAATATACCCCACGAAAACAGAAACGTTGTATCCACGTGAAATCCATGTGTAGATTCCACGTGAACGCAACGTGCGTTCCACGTGGATTCAATGTACGTTTTAGTGGGGTACTTGGCATGTGGCTGGCACGAATTACATGCTCATATCTGTTCGGGGAATAAATTAATAAACACGAATATAAAGCCAACGCTGAGAAACGATGAATATTGATCGATTGTTGCCGTGTTTTGCGGGAGGGTGAATACAGTCGCCCCATATAGAGGATAGTTCTAGATTATCCTATTATGAAGGGACCTTGTATAACAATATGTAGCGTAAACTTTTATGGCTTTTGCAATTTTACGTCGAGACAATAGCTCTGTGGATTTTTTTTCTTTTTCAATTAAATGTAAACTATGTAAGAAGTTACAAATGGATGAAGCATACGGATCTTTTCGCGTAGTTTCGTCGGGAGAATTCATCGCGCATTTATTCCCCACTTGTGACGAACTGTTTACATGTCGGTAGAATTAAGTTAGCATATGTATGTACAATAAATTATAGACAGAAACAATGGCACAATGACACGTAAAATGTAGACACGGTGATTATCTTACTGTACAGAACGTCTATGAATTCGCGAGAAGTGCATTCACGCGTGCGGCGCTTCTCTTCTTGTACATTATTTATTTATTTATTTATATTTCGATTTATTTATAATATCGAACAAATGAAAGGTACTGCATACAGCATTTCCGTGTATGTACAATGTCTTTGTTTCGAATTAATACGACTGACGATATACTTGTTAAACGATGCATACATAACGCATAAACGTTTTTGTGTTCTCACATGAGACACTGAGAAATATTATATAATGTGCATGGAAATTAGTTTAGTTGTTATATCGATATCGTAGAGCTGACATAACGCCGTAATATGTTAAATTTATATTACCAATCGAAGACTGTCCATGTAAGACCGTATGAAAACGCACAGTATATCATGCGTGAGTATAAAGGTACTCATTAACATTTCAGAATGTACAATCCAAATAGAGGGACATTCTACAAAGATTACAAGGACTATTATTAAAGAAATGGATCAGTACGGATGAATAAGTTTTATGTCGGGCTCATTAACTTGCAAACATTACCATAAACTTAATGTAATGGAATTAATAATCGATACATGTAGAAATACAATAAGTTTAGACAAACATTTGAACAGCGATATCCGTATCACCCTCCGTAGCTGAGTTTTATATAATAATCCTTAGAGAAAGGAAAAGAACGCGATACGCGTAACGAACAACTTTACAATAAAGAAAGACTCTGCTTCGATAATACAATGTTAAAAGAAATGAGGATATATTTGTCTTTTACTTGATAAGAAAGAAATAAATGGATAAGGATTAAAAATTTGTCGGTTTATTTCATAATATTCAACGAATTTACAAAATAACAATCGTCAGTCAGTCTATCACATCATCTTATAATCACACATTCTATTTTTTCATCTTTATGAGGCTATTATGTTTAAATTGATCATAAACATATGAGTATATATTACATAATACAAAGTTAAATATCTTTAGATTATTTATAATAAAAATGATAAGTGCTATAAGAGATAACTGTATTCAAACATCATACTCTGCTCCAGACATTTTTTCATCAGTGATCCATGAAACCAAATTCACACAAGTCTCTTGTTCTAAATATATATATCCTATTAACAGGCCTTCAAAAATACCAAGTGCTATACCTGCCAGAACATCAAGTATATGATGTCTTCTCATCAAAATTCTGGACATGGATATAGAAAAAGACCATGCTAGCAAAGATGGTACACATAACAAAGCTACAGGCCACAAATAGATGAAGGTATATACAATAAATGTTGCTCGCGATGCATGCCCAGACGGAAAAGAATATTTATCAGGACCTATACAGAAAATATCGTCGTTGGTCGAAGGACGTCTCCTTCTTGTTATTGCCTTTAATACAGCTACCAGAATGATGTCGAGTATCAATCCTGAAAACAGTTCTTTTCTTGATACATGTTCCTCATATGTGATATATATTGCAATTTTACTCTGAATTCACCTATAAAAAGGTTTACTTGCAACTGATAGTAATTTTTGTTAGCCAAAACCCAGATAAACATGAGAGTAGTTACAAGCCATACTATACCATGACATGATATCTAAGAAAAAATAATGAATACATTGCAAGATATATGTTTATGATATAAGATACAAATCACTTGTACAAAAAGTTGGCAATCTTACCTCCAGAGCTCTGTAATGTATTTTTAGTTGTTTCAGAGGTAAAAAGTGTTCTACTCGATTAACAAAGGCATTACTTATGTAGGCGTCAATTGCTAAAATCTTTTTCAGCAATGATGGTACTTCCCTTTTCTCTTGCTGAAATGTAAAATAAATAATTTCTTTTACTTCTATATATAATTTTACATGTTTATAAAATGAGTGAAGTAAAAAATAGATAACTGTTGAAACAAATAAAAGATTAATTACAACGAAATAAAATTTATATAAATACAAATTACTGAAGATGCCAGATACACAGTAAATTTTACCAATATAAAATGTAAATTATAACAGCAAGAATGTTCAAATTTTTTTTTCAAATTTAGTATCGATACTGACACCGTATATTCGGCTTTCCCGCAAGATATTTACACCATATTTGTTATATGGCATGGAATATTCAAATAAAATTATAGGTTATAAGTAATTAATACATACTATTTCCATGTCGCTTTCTTTCGTTTGCTCGTACAACTGAATCGTACAAAGAAATGTTTCAAATATTTTTTGCGTGAATAGATGGCATCATCCGTCCTTTTCCGATCCGATTGCAGTATCCTATAAGTAACTGCTGTGCAATAGCTATCTCATGTAGTCACTTCGGGCAGTATAGCAGACGATTTATCTGCAAGTGTACCAACTTTTTGTGTACTTTGGTGTGCTTTAGTGTACTTATACACTACAAATGGCTTACCAAACGGAGCAGAAGTATCACATTGTATTATCAACAATACAAACTATAGTCTATAGTCTAAGTCGTTCTTTTATTAAAATTTTTCTCTTATATAACTTTTGATGGCAAAACTTTATCAACTGCATAATTATAACTATAAATATAGATTGAATATAGATTGAATAACGAACATAAATTGCTCAGGTAAAAGCTAGAGAGAAGCAAATTACTTTACCAATATAAGAATTTTGAAATTATACTATGATTACTTGCCGAATAGTTGATTGCGTTATAAAGTTAAAAGAATAAAGTAATACTTTTTTCGTTATGAATGCTGTTTAATTATTTTATTACAAGAATTTTTCCATGAACACACTTCGACGAACGGCATTATTACAGCCTTCTTTATATTTATACCATATTCCATGTTTTGTCAAGACGTTCTGCATCAGAGAATATCCTCTCTGAGACCTCGGTGAAATATGATTTATCGTTTTATTTTGCTTCTTGTTTTCAGTTGTGATGATATTTCCAAAAAAATCTTTATATACCTGAAATGATTGTCATCAAATATATAGAAAAAAATGAAGATAATATTACTATAAATTCATTTTCTAGAGTATATATTAAATATAGGGAAAGCGAAAAAAGGCGTGATAGAACTCACCACTTCTTTTAACAATGTTGCTCTCTTCTCAGATTGTTTAGTATTTTTCGGAGAGGGTTTATCTGTAACCTTTTCTACAGTTTTAGAATTCTCCGAATTCGTTGCGTTTTCGGGATCGATTATACCCATCGAGATACTCGCACGCTTCAAACGTTCAACTTCCAGCTCTTGCGCGATTATCTGTTGTACAGCGTACGCGAGACACCGATGTGCGTTACAATCGGGAAGAACACCGACATCCAAAATGTTGCTAAAAAGTAATGGTAATTTCTAAAAAATTCACAGGTTATCATTAGTTTAACTTACGGGTCTATGTTGTAAACATATCCGCCTTGCGGATTCTTCTCCTGCACGAACGACAAGCCAAACTCGAGCATAACGTTTACTATTCTAGCGAGAGCAGCTTTTTCATTCGGCGAATATAAGTGAGAAGGAACTGTACGCAATTTAGGTGAAAGAAGATCGGGCATAAAACCAGCAATGTCCGTAGTCAAGGTGAAAGTATCGCGCCCGCACACCTTTCGTATCGCAGTCAAGATACCTGTGTTCTTTGCTGATCTTTGATTCACCTACAACAGTTATAATATTGGATTATGCAATAATTTTGAATTTTTCAGGTCAAATGAAATGTTTGTATCCGTCTGCCGTTAAAATTTATCTATTATTTATTATACTACCTGATGACATTACTTATTTCTTATTATTTCCCAGTAAACACAAAGTATCATCGATGTTATAATGTCAGCTAAATCATATGGTATGTTATATAACAGTTGCTTTGTTATATAACAACTTTGTGTTTAGTGGGTTATTACACAAACTTATTATTACCAATAGTAAGATTACATATATAATGACACAAGGTAACGATAAGTTTGTGTACATTATGTTGATTAATTGGATATAATACTCACTTCGTTAAAAACTGTAGGATAAGACAATTTCACTCTCTGCATGCGCGCAAAATGCAAGTGCCACGCGATGAATCCATAATTTGTATAGGGCATCAGCGACCAGATCTGCTTGTGCATAACGAGCGATGTTATCAAGTCGTAAAATTGAAACCACTCCAACGATGTGGACACATCATCGAGTTTTCGATCGCAGACTTCAGGATAATTGTGAAATATTCCTTGCGCCAACTTGTCCGTTTCACCTGACGGATAATACTATTTGTAACGATCGAATATTTCTATTAAAATTTGTAACAATGGATTGCACATTATTAATATCTCATAGTTACCATTTTGCACCGTTCTCAAGATATTTTCGATCCTTTCGGAAACAGAAACGACTCCTCCTCTGTGTATGGGGATCGTTAAGATACTTTTCCACGAATCGAACAAGTTTTTACGGGTATCTTTTAGACCTAGAGATAAGTTATCCTTCAGTTCCGTATTACCCATATACTGTATCGCTCCTACGCAAGATCGCACGTCACAAGCAGACCTCTCCGCTATTTTGACAAGATCGCCAAAATCCAAGGTCAAGTTTTCTTTTCTCCCTATTTCCATTAGACGTTCGGCTAATCTCAAGGGACTTACTTCCGGCACTGGTATTATTACAGCGGTGGCTCTCAATGTTCTACAAATTTCGAATATAATACATTCTTCCAGATTCAAATAATATAACTGTAAATTTATCTAGCTTTTCTTGAATCAAGATTACCGTAATGTTGGCGCGTACGGTTCATTACAGATGCACACCACAGGACGCGTACAGCCGTCTGACATTTTTTCTGCCTGGTTTTTTCCTTTTTTAGTTTTTGATATTAATTTTCCTTGAACAAACTTTAGTAAAAGTTCGATGGATGCAGCCGGTGCGCCATCGATCTCGTCGAAAATCAAACAGTTAGGTCGCGGATCAGCGCCAATCACGGATTTCATTTCTGTCGACGCGAGGAGGATCTGTCTAAACGAAAACGCAAAGACACAATTGTACGAATTACATCGTGTAAGTTTCATGCATTACCTGAACATATCCGGACTCCTTTCATCGCTCGCGTTGACCTCAACAACATTGTAGCCGGCATGTCTAGCCGCTATATGTGCCAAAGTTGTTTTACCTAATCCTGGTGGTCCACTGAGCAAAGCTATTCTTTTTATTGGATATCCTTTGCTATCCACTTCCTCAATCTTATCCTCCTCATTCGTTCCAAACTCAGGTAATTTTGTTTTATTCTTTATTTTACTGATATTCCGATTAAATATTATCTTGTCCCAAAGTTTCAGCCAATGTAAGAGTTCTCTGTTAACAGTTTCGTCCGAGAGTAATTCTATGTAGGATCGAGGTCGATATTTGTCGACCCATAACTCATCATTGACTATGTTCTTTGTTTCTTGTAGATTTGATATCATCTGTATTGACAATTCTTTCTTTCTTGTTATCTATAAGAACATAATGTAATAAATGCTATTATATAAAAATATGACTGAAGAAGAGTTTAGAAATAGATGTACAACTTCTTCAGCTTGAGCTTTCAACTGTTTATAGGGTATGGAAAGCAAGTTGGTAAATGGCTTGGTGGACTGTTTGACATCATTCTGAATATTCTTAACTCTGACATACAGACGTTGAGAATCATATGTCCTTGTGACTGCTACAAAATTCCATTGTGGGACGCGCAAGGAAATTGAATTCTTCTTGCTATATTAAACAGATAAGAATGACTATATTAAACAGAATATTAAGATTTATACTGTTATAATCAATATATATTACTAATTTACTTACTTTCCCTTATACTTTGTTGTCATTAAATTATTTCCAGTATGTTCATATATCAATTGTCTAGCATCCAATATTTTTTTAATGACTTCCTCAGGTTGATCCCATCGAAGTTTCTTTTCCTTTGGTTCCTCAAAGTCAACTGAAAATTATTCTTATAATATCTGCTTTTCAAAATATAATTTTTATATAACTAGAAACATAATAAAGCATATAAGTTCATCACACCTGAAACATCATTTCCTAAAAGATCGCTGATATCTCCAAAGAGTTCCTCATAAGTGCGTTTCCTACTAGTGCTAGGTGTATTATTGTCAATAATTTCATTGCAACTTGTCAGTTGTGAGGGAATAGAGACTTCGACACTAGCTTGTTGTTTATTTCTGTTTGCTGTTTGAGATATTCCACTGGGACCAGGCTGTGATAATTGTCTTTTTGTGAAAAACTTATCTTCTGTAATTATAATCAAGTATAAGCTAGCAATATAATATATATAATTATTAGCATAAAAACATCTAAAACATATTTCTATAAATTTCTATAACATTATTTCTATAAATTTCTAAACGTATTTCTAAACATATGTCTACCTTAATAAAGAAGTATTTTCTTAAATAAATAAGTAAAATATAAATATACTATTTACCTTCTAACTCTCTCAAAGTCTCATAGTCTGCTTGATGAATAAGATCAAATTCTTCATCCGGATCTGGGAATTCATCGGCCATCGTGTAATCAAACAAGAGCCAGAATCATAATATGTGTAAATAAATAAATTAAAGAACTGACATTTCCGTGATACAACTTTGCCTGACTTTTTCCCGCTTTTTCTCGCATCATGTATGATGTCACATGAGCAGATTTCTTTTTTCTGCATTTTGCATTGATTTTTCTTTTTTTATAAATTCTTACAAAAACATCAAGGAATACAGAAAAGAGTAAAACAAACGCTATAGGACAACAACAAATACGACATTACGATTTTTGTATATTACAAAATGTTTGCCAAATTTATCGTTGAGTCGTACTACCTCAATTTGTAAGTTCAAATAGTGGCGGCTCGTAGCGGAGACTTTAGAATTAATCTTAGAACTAAGGCCGGTATTCATAGGGACCCATATTCAGAACATGCTTATAACTATGTTAGTGCGCTGTTAACTAATCAGAAGGCATATGCGTGGCTTTTCATTGGTTAACAGCGCGCTACATAGTTACAAGCGTGTTCTGAATATGTGTTTACGATAAATCGAGTTCGAGCTAGTTCACTAGGACTGAAAGGTATGATAGGCACGACCATCTACTATCTTCATGATTTATGACAACTCAATGCTGTCCAGTGGTGCGATTCTTTAAAGCGTCGTCTACAATGGCAGTAAGCAGTAAGAAGTAAGCGTAAGCGGTAAGAAATAAACCAATCACAGTCGATTATGACAAAAATAATCAACTGTGGTTGGTTTCTTTTCTTAACGTGGTCCATTTCTTAAGGCCATCACACATAAAATTCCGTAAGAACGTAAGACGTAAGCGTAAGGAAATCGACCAATCCCAATGTAATATTCAGCTCTCCGTAACCCCTCCACTTTTGTCCGTAAAACATAAAACGTAACGTCGAAAAATTCAGTAAGGATGAAATTTTTATGGCTACGTCTTATGGACAACCAATCACAACTGATCAGACTATACACTTTAGTTTGACATTTGAAGCGAAGCTAGTAAGGTTAGATTATTTAAAGCCAGCGGCACACGGTGCTTGTTTTCGTGCTGGATTGCTTGCTGGATGAAAATACTGCGTTCTGATTGGTGCATTTCCATCCATCTTCGGAAATGTACCAATCAGATCGCAGTATTTTCATCCAGCAAGCAATCCGGCACGAAAACAAGCACCGTGTGCCGCTAGCTTTAAGTAGCATTTGTCGCAGTGAGATAAGTGAGATGAAATGAGTGATCACAATAAATATTGTAATATGTTTAATAACTCGGAAAATGATGAATCCCTTGAAAATAAGGATGGTAAAGAAAATGATGAACTGCTTATTGATGCGGTAAGAGCATACCCACATCTTTATAACTACCAAAATCGTAATTTTAAAGACCATTTGATGAAAGAAAATTCGTGGAAAGAAATAGCCTTAGCAGTAAACAGTTCAGGTAAATGAGTACAATAGGCAATTTTTGGCGGTCGTTTGGTACATGTACCAAGTTGTCATTGGGCTAGTTCATACTAAATATTTAACATATGTACTAAATATCTATATGGCATAAATGTTTAATATATTATAGAAACGTCTCAAAGATATTTGGATATCTCTGGAATATATTTTGGACACTTGTGCTTTAAGAATATTAGTACATATATTAAATGCTTAATGTAAACTAGGCCAGTGACAACCTGGTACATGCACCAAATGATCGCCAAAAATCGCCTATTATTAGAGAGTTTTTGCAATACTGTTTTTCAGATACGGTAACGCTAAAGTACATTCCGATATTCATTGCCAATACTGCGAATATATAGTTTGTGTTATGTATCCTATAGATTTGAAGTACTGGCAGTGAATATCGGAACGTACTTTAGCGTTACCGTATCTGGAAGACGATATTGCAAAAATTCCCTATTATTAAATGATAATTATATAATATATACAATAATAGAGTATGCACTGGTAATTATTATATGCTCTGAGGGGGGCCTTTATTTCTACCTCTTCTATTTATTTATTTATTAATAAGAAAATCAATGTTTTTATAGTTTTGGATTGTCAAAACGTTGGGTAAGACTCCGTGAAAGATTCGGTAAAGGAAAACGGTAAAGGGAGTTGGATTCAAGGAGTGGCAGTGGAGTTAGTCAACGAAGTGGCTTTATATATTACGAAAATATGTCATTTCTAAATGACCATATCAAAAGAAGGAAGTAAGTTTATGAGACAAGAACATAAATAAATGTTGACGCATATATCAGTGTGTAATGTTATATGACTTTCTCAGGTCTTATACGAATGTTTCAATTGTGAAGCGTATAAAGACAATGGATGTCTCAGCTAATAAGCCTGACACACACATCTCACCAACGAGTTCTCTGTTAACAAATAAAAAAGACAATCAAATCAATCTTCCAATGGACAGTGCAACTATGGAAAATACGGAGTCCTCAATCTTCAAGATCGCCTCACAACTCTCTAATGCAGGAGATGAAATACCGATGCAACCTTCTGTGCAACCATATACAAACTTCTCAACACGATTTAAAAACATTTCCTTGCCAGACACTGGCTCTGCTGCATCATTAATGAATTCACTCGAAAATGATCACTCAAGTTCAAGTACTTCACCCAAATGTTGTCCAAATACACTTAGTATTCTTGATGAATCTGAAGAATCTACATTGTTTTCAACAAGAGAGTCAACACCTCTAGCATTCAAAAGTTTGCAAGCTACACCAGTGTCGCAACAACCACCATATAAGAAAAAAGATAACTCGGGCGCATTGGAGAGTTCTCTAGTTTTACTTTGTCAAACTATGCACAAACGTCTCCAGAATAATCGTAATTCCGAAATTACTGGTTCCTCGGAAGAAACTTTTGCAAGGTTAATCGCGAATCAATTAGAAAAGTTACCATCATATGAAAAATATAAACGCCAGCAAGCAATTATGCAAATTTTGTATGAACCTTATATAATTCTTGAAGACGAAAATGACAGCAAAGTTACGAACCATTTTTATATTTCAAATTTTAGATAGCATACTATTAATTTCGTATTTGTGTTCCTAATGTTCCTAATGTTTATTTTTAGATAGGATGCTATATTATTTTCTTGTTCTTTATAATATTTTATGCTTACGTTTTTATATTCAAGATATTTAATTGTAATTATATGTAGACGTGCTCAGGGAAAGAGTTATTCCATATATATTCTTCTGTATCTTTATATAATATTATATAATCTTTCTTTATATAATATATAAAATATATAGATTATTGATATTGTATATTTTGCAATAAATGAAACATTCAAACAATATCTTGTAATTATACGTACATTGGAAATTTATTACAAACATATATAATTACATGTCTGGAGTATCATCACAATTGAAACCTCTGCGGACATATGTATACTGCCATGGAAGTTCACCTTCAGAAGTGACAAAGAAATTTGCTAATAAGTCTCTTTGATTATATGCTCCTCTTGTTATGCGATGGGCATTTGATGGTAAGTAATATATCCTCCTGTAAGTAATATATCCTCTTCTGTCATTTGCAAGTGTTCAACAAATTCCTTCAATAAATGACCTGAAAAATGGTTTTATACGTATATACAATTACTTCTATACTATGTTCCTTTACAAGATATACGTGACTTAAGTTTGTTACTAAAACTGGCAATTTTTTCCCTAATTGTTATTGAAAGAAATATTAATAGAACACCTTACTTAAACAAACTCTAAATGATGCATTTTTTTTTTATAAAACACTCTGTTATCAAAGTGTCAATGATTCTAAAATTCATATATCTAAATACATTTTATATTATTGTAAAATTTGAAATTCAATAAAAAGGAAGCATACTTACTGTTTGGTGGAATGGTACTAACATTGACATTTCAGGTTAAACTTTACGAAATGCAAAGGAATCTTTCTGCATTTTCCATTGGCTGACTTTTATGTTTTACGCCAACTGTGTGTCATGGACTTTACGTCTTACATCTTAAGTTTACGTCTTACGTTCTTACGGAATTTTATGTGTGATGGCCTTAAAGACCATTGCACGTACAAAAGTTTTAGTCGTAATCGTAAGTCCGTAAGTAAATTGATCACAATTTGCAAGAAGCAATCACAATTCGTATATTTCGAGATGCTGGATTGTGATTGGTCAATTTGCTTACGGTCTTACGGTTACGACTAAAATTTTTTTACGTGCAATGGCCTTAAGCTGTCAGCGAATGAAAATATTTCATTTCGTGTCTTGCAATCTTATAGCCTTACTCTAAAGGCTCATCTACATTAGCTGTAAGAGTAAGACTGTAAAGTTGCAAGACACGAAATGAAATATTTTCATTCGCTGATAGCTTACGTTACAGCCTTACAGCCTTACTCTTACAGCTATTGTAGACGAGCCTTTACAGCTAATGTAGATGAGCCTTAAGCGCGGTCTACAATGGCCGTAAGCAGTAAGAAGAACAGTAAGAAATGGACCAACCATAGTTGATTATTTTTGTCATAATCGACTGTGATTGGTTTATTTCTTACCACTTACGCTTACTTCTTACTGCTTACTGCCATTGACTACGTTTACACAGCTTCTAACTTCGATTTAGTAACGCTAATGTTATAACTCGTACTTAAGGTTGCGTTTACACATTTACGCTTATTTATTTGAAATAACTTAATAACTTTCGAGTGAGTCAAGGATTTCCATTAGTACCCATATAAACCCACATAGCACGAATGACTGTTTGCCGGCTGATAGTCGACTATTTTTAGTCAACTTGAAGTCGACTTTTAAAGTCGACGTTTAGCCGACTATTTCCAGGATGATTTTTGTCGACTTTAACTATTGACTGTAAGTCGACTTAAAGTCGACTATTTTGAGACGATTAAAAATCGGTTTTCAGCAAAGCAAAAAGTCGATTAAAAGAAAAGAAAAGAAAAGATATCTTTTCTTAAAATATATAAATTAAACCATTACTCAATGAGAAATTACTTGTCAATAGAAGTCAATTTGATATCGTTTCGACGTCGATGGACGAGTCATTACATATGTGTTTAGCGAATACAACAGTTGCACAACTGTTGAGTGTTTTGTTGACGTAATTGATCTAGATTTAACAGCAAAGACCAATAATAACTGACTGCTCACTGATTTTTTCGCTGAATGTAGCCATTGAATATTTAAGATATACAAAACGCTAATGAACGCTATTTAACGCTACTGCGCTACCTTAAATAGCGCATAATGAGCTTCCCAAACACACTCTCAGGCTGCGTTCCGTTTCACGCATATGCTCGTATTTATCTATAGTTCATGTTACGTATACTGTAGGAAATGCGCGCATATGCGTGAAACGAAACGCGGCCTCACTGATCATAGTGTAGTACTAAGTGCAGCCATTGTGGTTTAGGAACACTATTGGTTTTCACCTCGCTCACCACCTCATCGTTTTAATCAGAGGTAATCCTTTTTATTTTCTTAATTATATTGTGCCAAATAAAGTTTAACAATATTGTTATATATATTTCTAATAATATGCTTTATATATATGTGTAATAATCATTATAATTTGTGGCAGAAGTGTAAGCAATTTTCCAGGCAAAAGTATAAAATGTTTTTCATATTTCATGTTTTGATTCATTTATTAGCATCAATTATCGGCACGCGAGTGCTTTCGTCATGTTTTTACTATCGCCCGTAAACGAATAAACGCGTCGCGCGTTATGTAAGACATGTGTACGATTTAATCTTGTGCGTCCTAACCAGGCTTGATAAACTCTTATGGGAAAATTCTGACCAGTGTTTTAACGCCATCTAAAAGATAGCCCCCAGGAAATGTGAACTACGATGCCAAAAATTCGATATGGCGTCTGTTATAAGACTAGTGCGTGTATATGTTACTTATGTTCGTTGAACGCAGCCAATTATATTTTTACAATAAATATTTGAACGTTGTTTAACACTTCTTGTAATTAAAGGAATTTTTTTTGTGTGGTCATCGTCGCTCGCTCCAAACTACCATATATACGGTGAAGGTAAAGACATATTAACACGCTTGTTATTTAGACGTAAGCATTTGTTACGTTACTTTTTATTTGTAGCATCGAAAATGTTCTCAGCGTACGTTGCGTCATAGATTTTAAAAGAACGTCCCTCTAAGATATTTGAGCATAGATATGGGGAGGACATGTTGTGTTCCTGGATGCAAGTCTGGGAAAGAAGTACCTTCACATCGATTTCCCAAAGATCCTGAAAGATGCTCAAAATGGATACAAAGTTTGAAATTGAAACATTTAGAAAATTATCCAAGCAATGAGATACAAAAAAATAAAGTGTGCCATAAACATTTTCGTCCAGAAGACTATAGTCCATGTTTGCATAAACGTGTTTTATTAAATGTTGCGGTTCCTGTATTGTTTATACATAATACAAGTATAGATGCTTGGTGTACACATATCAACAACATTTTATGTAAAAAGATAACAACAGATAGCGATAATTATATATATAAAGCAGCAATGCGAATATCAACAAAATATGCAAAAAAAAACAGTGAAAAAAAATAAAATAAAGAATGAGTATACATTGTTTTAAATTGTTTATTTTTTTAAAATTGCTTTTTAGTTATTCATTTTGTTCCAAATCCAATAAATTGATTAAAATTTAAATATAAAATTAAATATACTAAAACGAATAAAGCTAAGACTCCATGCATGCGGTGAACTGCGGCAAATGCTGCGGTGACCAATCAGGAGGGAGACGCAAGTCCGGTTGCGGCAAGCTCCGGCATGCGTCTGTCTCCTGATTGGTCACCGCAGCCGTTTGCCGGAGCTCACCGCATGCATGGAGTCTTAGCTTTAGAGCTTATCTTTATCGATCGGTAAGTTATTTTGCTACGTAGTTCATATATTATTGGGGGTCATCTTTTAGATGGCGTTAAAACACTGGTCAGAAATTTTACATGGAAGTTTAACAACCCTGGTCCTAACCTCTAAGTGTGTTAATGTCATTAGCGAGCAAAGTCATTAGTATGACTTTTCTTTCATGTTCTCAGTGTTTTCACGTGAAAAATAGCATGAAAATTTTATAACTGCCTAGGCTGCTACATAAGCCTTGTTCGATTTTATTCATAACTGAATTTTTAACTTGGTCGTATAGTAATACTTGTCACTAGGCATATTCTATTTTCGACGTTTCCATAAGACAAACGTGTTATAATTTCGTTTCTCTCGAGTATATGAAATTTAGAAACCGATTGTAGCTTTGTGAAAATGTTGACTTAGCTTTTTCATCACAATACATGGTCACCGCTGACACAGCGATTACATATACTGTTATTGTGTTTTCAAAGGAGACTGCTTTACATATTGTGGACACTCTTTCGAGCTAGTATTTTACTTATCCTATTTATTTGCAAGCAAGAAATTGGTAAGAAATTAAAATATATAATATTTTCCATATAACATGCAAAATATACTTGCAGGGAGTCAGGGAATCTTTTTCTCATCAGTTATCCGTGCTTCGTATTTAGTAGTCGTAGTATTGTTTCAGCTAAGTTGAGTTTTATGCAGAATAACTGAATATAACGAATTTTTCCCAATAAGTAAAGTATCTCACATATTTACCTGTGTATATGTCATTTTAATATGAAGACAACACAAGATATAGTCTTTCCTGCTTAGTGCATAGAGTTCTTGTAGCAAGTTGTATTCTATTAGTATGGTTTACTTAGTTTGCTTGTCCTGGACTGGAAAATAATGAGCATATGCTCTTTTTTGCAACAATCCTGCTATTTTTTGACTAGTAAACATGTTTATTAATTGATTTAATAGTTTCTTTGTTCCCTTGTTAATAGTGTTTGTTCAGTAAGTGAATTCAGATTTTGTATAACTTTTTTTCAGATTTTATGCCTTTTGATAACTGCAGAGATATTCGTCATTAAGATCCCAGCACTTTTACTAGGCAGAAGGTAATACAACTGCACAATATCTGTATTTAGAAATAAGTAGGCATTGTGCATAATGCTTGCATTATTGACAATATGTACGTTTAGGCAAGACACCGCTACTGAAGCACTACAGTAGCGCTTTTGTTGACTGG